TCACCCACAGTGAGCAGGTTTCAGCAGAGCTTCCAGACTAAGAACAGACAACAAAGAAGGACTCTGTCCCCCAGTTCGCAGAAAGAAGCCCCTGCAAACCTTATGCATAACTCCTCTTCTGTGGCCTGCTCAAACACCTCTTCCCCATTCCCTGATGCTCTGGACGGGATGTTTGCCTGCTCAAACACCTCTTCCCCATTCCCTGATGCTCTGGACGGGATGTTTGCCTTAATAGTAGCATTTCCCCAGCTTCCGCTTGAATACCAAACAGTCCTCAAAGACCTTGGTAATTATCAATGTAAACCCATGCCTAGATCACTCAAGGGCTCCTTCAATGTCGAGGAGATGAGGTAGAGGCATCCCACCCTGACATGTTACACAATGCTTTGTCAGGAAGAGATCGCATTATTCGTACGGGAAAGGAAAAAGCCGAGGGAAAGCCCAGAAACACTGTTTTGCTCAGTTGTTCATTTCCCACTCCCTTGTTTTGATGATGTTCCTTCTCACACCAAAGCTCGTGTGGGTGTGACCCAAAGAAAGTCACTTTCAGGACAATTGGAAGCCTGATGCAGCAGATGGCTGGGCATGGCAAAGCCTGAGCCACGTAACTATGCTTGTGGGGACCGTCCCTGAGACCCTCAGCAGCACCCATGCTCTTGACAAAGTTCTGTCTACCTCAGAGCGCTGAGAACAGAGCTGCCACGTGCTAACTGTGTGACCCATGACAGAATGTATTTAAGCCTTACTTTCCATACATCGTATGCCAGGGTAATGATACTGGTGCCCACCTCACAGGATTAAGTGAATAAAAAACAGGTAAGGTGGGAGAGAAGGAGTTGGTAGCACAACAGTTAAGTGCTCAATTGCTAAATAAAAGGTTGGTGGTTCTAACCCACTAGCTGCTCCATGAGAGAAAGATGTAGCTGTCTGTTTCTATAAAGGTTACAAACTTGAAAACCCTACAGGTCAGGTCTACTCCCTCCTACAGGGTTGTTATGAGTCAGAAGCAACTGCACAATATTGGGTTGGGTCGTTTGGTTTAAGATAGTAGAAGAGTCCATGGATGGCACAAAAAAAAAAAGTTACTCTGCTGAATGGTAGGTGATTCTAACCTACAGAGCGATGCACCCAGAGCAAAGCTTGTTGTCAAACCATGATGACCCAATGGAGCACAGGTCTATACTCACACACAAGGTCATCAGAAGTTTGACTCCATATGAGAACAACTGGTCCTGGTAAGCTAGTAGAATGTAGTATCTTTTCAGTAGATGGGAGACTCAAACAACTCATACTAGAAAGAAATAAAGTTTGGAAGGCTTAGCAGAATCAATCTAGATATGAATCTTGAAGCCAGGCACTCCATTGTTTGCTGCAGAAGATATAATCTGTGACAGGGAAAGAGAAATGATTTATATACTTAAGACTGATGAATAATGCAAAGGAGAAATAACCATTTGTAGAAGCAGAATAATCCCCATCTGAATCCATAAAATTTAGTTATGAATATGTTATCTTACATATAAGATATGGAGAATTAATAGGAAGCAGACAGAAGTTCAAACCTGTTTCAGAAGAGGACAAAGAACTAGGGATATAATTACTGACATCAGATGGATCTTGGCTGAAAGCAAAGAATACCAGAATGATGTTTACTTGTGTTTTATTGATTATGCAAAGGCATTCGACCGTGTGGGTCATGACAAACTATGGATAACATTTCTAAGAATGGGAATTCCAGAACAGTTGGTTGCATTCATGTGGAAATTGTATATCATCCAAGAGGCAATCATTTAAAAAAAACACATCGGGATACTGAACGGTTTCAAATCAGGAAAGGTGTGTGTCAGTGCTATGTCCTTTCACCATGTTTATTCAATCTGTGTCCTAAGTAAATACTTCAAAAGATGAACGAAATGAAGAACATGGAATCAGGAGTGAAGGAAGGCTTTCTAACACCCTGCAATATACAGATGCCACAACACAGCTTGCTGAAGCCCAAGAACACTTGGAGCAACTAATAATGAGAATCAAAAACTGTAACCTTCAGTTTAGATTATACCTCAATATAAATAAAACAAAAATTCTAGCAATTGGACTAATACACAGCATCATAATAAATGGAGAAAAGTTGGAAGCTGCTAAGGATTTCATTTTTCTTCCATCTACTATCAGCATTCATGGAAGCAGCAGTCAAGAAACCAAACGACTTACCATATTGGGCAGATCTGCTGCAAAAGGTTTCTTTAAAGTGGTAAAGCACTGAGAAGCCACGTGGCAGACTAAGGTGCCCAGAACTGCAGCCGTGGTATTTGCAATGGTCTTATATGCATGTGAAAGCTGACCGTGAATAAGGAATACTGGAGAAGAGTCGATGCACAGCTTCGTGTAATAATGAAATTACCACAGACTACCAGAAGAACAAACAACTATGTCTTGGAAGAAGTACAGTCAAAATATTTCTTTCCAGCCCAGGATGATGAATCTCCATCTTTGGTGTGGAAATGTGAGTACTACTAGTGTTAATTGGTCTTCACTCTAGGTGTGTGGATATTTTCCTCTCACTGACAGCATTGTTCTTCAAGACAGACAAGTTCTTTGTTGACAATATGCCATTCCCTGCATGCTCAATGAGTCTCCACATGCAGGTAGGACATCTCAATGCCAGTCTTTGTCTTTCATGGGCTTGTTTTCATTTTCTTCAGCATCCTCTTGAACTCACATACCACCAACTGAGGGTCTCTACTGCATTTGGTCTCTGACTTTGTTGTGATCGATATTATTGAGCTTCTCTCTTGTCTCTCTCTTTGTTTTTTTTACAGTTTTTTTAATCGTTTTATTAGGGGCTCACACGACTCCCATCACAATCCATCCATACATCAACTGTGCAAAGCACATTTGTACATTCATTGCCCTCGTCATTCCCAAAACATTTCCTCTCCACTTAAGCCCCCGGCATCAGGTCCTCTCTTTTTTCCCCCTCCCTCCCCGCTCCCCCCTCTCTCACGAGCCCCCAATAATTTATACATTGTTTATTTTGTCATATCCTGCCCTGTCCGATGTCTCCCTTCACCCACTTCTCTGTTGTCTTGTCTCTTTTAGTAGATATGATCTGTTTTGTATATTCCATGTGTTGAAGTCCACATGCATAGTTCTTTCTTTTGTGCCATGGATGAAAGATATTTCTAATGAGTACATTGATATTCTTGCAAAACGCTATCATGAGATTCCTGACCTTGTTTCTAGTCACCAAGGCTATATTTTTCAACTGTGGATTCTCTTTGTTTTGAAATTCCACATTCCAATCTCAAATAAATATCACTGCATTCCTCTTGTACATGTGATCAATCTCTGGTTCCAGAAGTTTGTAAAGATCTTTAATTTATTCATCTTTGGCCTTCGTCATTGGTGTATAAACTTGAATAATGCTGGTATTAACTAGTCTTCTTTGTAGATGTATAAATATTATTCTATCACAGCATTGTTCTTCAAGACACATCTTGAAATTCTCTTTTTGGCAATATGTCTTTCCCTGTAGAGTAGATCATATCATTGCCTGCTTCAAAATGGTTGATAGCTGTCCATTTTAGCTTGCTAATGCCCAGTATATCAAACTTTATGACACCCATTTAATTTTTGACAACTCCTAATTCTCCTAGATATATATACCTGATGTTCTACACATTCTGATTATTAATGGATGGTTGAAGCTGCTTCTTGACATTTTAAGTTGTACCATATCAGCAAATGAAGGCCCTGAAAGCTTTACAGTATCCATATCATTAAAGTCATTTAAGTCAACTCTACTCAATCAAATTTTGTTGGTGGTGGTGGTGTTTGGTTGATTAAATGAGTGATTGCTCAAAATATCCTTAACATCTAATACACTTTCTTACAAACAGTAGGTGTTTAAAAAAACCCACGATCACATAGTAACCTTACAGGG